ACTGTTTAGGTGTTTTCTACGGGCGAAGTATTCTATGATCTGAAGATGGCTGTTAAAAACACAACGCTGAGCTGCAATTTTTAATCATACTTTTTAAATTTATTAAATTTAAAATACATGCTCTCCATCTCAAATTAGTAATCTTTTCATTGTACAGTACTATACATCTTCCTGTTAGCAACAGCATGCCGTCCTCTAACTCCTTTCAGAGGAAAATATTTGAATTGAAATAACGTGACTTCCGGTTTGCATCCGAAGTTCGTATACAGTTAATCGGGGCCTCCTGTCCTTAAGCTTTCCATATATGGCCTCGGATTTTATCTATTTAACTTCATTCTTGAGATTAACGAAAGACAGATAAACAACAGACAGACAGACGACAGTAGGAATTTATAGGTTTACAATTTTTTTAAATTGCAATTCAAATAGATTCTAAAATACAGAACTACAGTAGCCTATATATTAAAACTAGCTGCGTATGCCCGGTGTTTTTCGGGTTTTCGAAGAGATAGGGATTTCTGAGGTTCGGTTAGGAGAGGATGATAAAAATACTCTTAGTAATTAAAATGTACAGTACATTTATGGACCTGAATATTTACAATAATGTAACTGCAAAATATAAAAACAATGCTCGGGCTAAAGTTACAGGGAGTACTTTATGAGTGTTCGGGGCTGAGACCCAGAGTATTGTTCTAGGGTTTCGAAGCCAAATTTGATGCGAATATATTTGAACGCTATAGAACGTTTACCTAAGAAATGTATAATGCATTGTAAGTTAAGAGGAGTGGGCTGTAGGTGTGCTCGAGATGCGAACCTCACATTTTTTTTCTAAGATGTTAAAGAATATTCACACCGACTTTGATTGGAATACATTGAACGGTATAGAACCCTTTGCCTATCTGGATCGGGAAAGGGTTAATGCTCTCTCTCTCCCCCGGGGGAAATTTCTAAAAATCCCTTCTTAGTGTACGTTGTCATGGAGTACCCTAACTGTGTACCAAATTTTACCTCTTTAGGTTCAACGGTTTGCTCTGGGCAATGATGAATCAATCACTCAGTCAGGACAAGTACCGTATATCTGCACAGATAAGACGATAGTTGAATCATCAAAAAAGACTCCCCCCAAAATCCGGGGTCGTCTTATAGGACAGATACAAAAAAAAAATTAGATTGAAATTTATATAAATTAAAACTATTATAAAATAAAACAAATCACACAATGTATTTAAATTGCCCATACGACGTTTTTGTGAATAGTCAAGGTCATTCATTACCCGAATGCCCGAATCAGTGCAAATGTTTGCAATAATCGCAAGGCAGTACTGTCAGATGCAAGAAAATAAAATTTGTTCATTCGAAAAATTACGAATAAGACATAATTCCGTCCGTATACGCTATACAGTGTTATTATCCAGATGATGATCGCTGATCTAAACTAAATTCATAGGCCGTTGATAGTTTGGGGTCCCATACCCATATCCTATTTCTGAGATTAAAGAATGTTTCAATAAGAGAAAATAAAACTCATTTAATCACTGAGCCTTCTACTGCCCCCTGAAAGCCTCCAGCGCCCACAAGGGGCGTTATCATTCACTTTGAGAAACGCTGCTCTAAATGTATTTTTAATTATATTATTTATCTGACGTACTTAATATCTATTGAATCTAATAACCTTTGTTATTAGATCCAATATATTCCATATGCCCTCTAAATGCCAATTCTTGCTTTGATAAAAACATATAACATCTATTAATTTGGATAAAATATATCTATTAGCCGTAATTACCTCGTTATAATTTTCAATATTTATTTTATATTATTTACTAATGTTAAATTCTATTCCGTTTTGATTTCCAAATTGCTTCAAATGCGAAAGAATCGACGATTTTTGGTGTCTTTTGCCAGCTAAATCGTCAAAGCCATTCTTATTCCACACTAATTTCATTTGAAAATAGTAGGGCGAGCCAACAAAAGAATTTTTGCATTTTTATGCATCTACAGAGCCATTTTATCGTGAAGATGTCGAACAAATTTTTTATTGAAGTGTTTATATTTAACTTAGGCATTGGTCTTCCTCTTTTAATAATGTTTTCTTTTTCATTATATGATCTTGAGCCAAAACTATTTTAAAATAAATTTTCAATATCGCAATTACATTCCGAATTGCTAGCCACGATATAAGGGCTAAAATTAAAAATAAAATTATGAAAACTTACTCGGTGAAATAAAATGTGTAGTGGCTATCCATACCTGGCACAAAATATTCTTCAATTGTATGAATATACTTTTAAAGAAAATTATAATTAAATATAGCTTTGTAATGAAACGTACATGAAAATAACACAAAATATTCTTTACTCTTTAAATCTAAACCACTTAGTCAAATAGCTCCCTACGAGTGGAATCGGAGACGGTCCCGCTAGGTATGCGGTGTGTACATGCACGCGGACTGCCAAATCCCGAGGATGCCGATACCGGTCAATTTCAAATGCCTCTTTTGTCGCATCACTAATATACCTTAAAAGACGCGACAGGGTTCTTGTAAATTTTAAACGTTTCTCACCATAGCTGTAATTCTAAATATGTTAAACTTAATAGATTGTCCGTCGTTTGTTTTCTAACTAATTCGTTGTAGGACCAGGTGTTGTCCACGGAAATTTCCAAAATTTACAACTTTTCGGTCACTCTCGTTGAACTGGAAAATTTCTGTCTTTATTACATTAATAATACGAAGAAATCAGTCCCACTGTACTCGGCTATAGATTGGTTCGGTTAAGCTTTTGTTTAAGTAATATTCCGGCTCTTTAATCAGGGTTTTGTTTACGTCCCCAATTCCCTAATCGCTTTAATTATTTAACTACTTCTTAAATAGAAATAAGTCGAAACCGGTTACTTTGTACTCGAATATTTGTAGGAAAAAAGGGGAAAAAAGTGGAAAGACAGATTTTTATGACAAACGGATACATAAATCGTAAATTTAAGGAAAACGAATTCTAAGCTTTTTTCTGTACCTGGTGCATCTCTCTCATTCATTAAATTTAGTTGTAAATGACTCTGCCAAAGTAACAGTTAATTTTTTAACATTGTACAAGAGTTGTACACGTTTATTTCTACATCCCCTTAGAGATGGGATATACGAAATCGTAATATCACTGGTTTAACATTGAAATCCGTGAGTGATATAAAATCAGAGAGCGGAATAAAAATATCAAATATTTTAATGGGTTTTTTAAAACTCCTGTCAACTATGCAGAATTATCATAAAAACATAACCTAACCGATAAGAATTTACTGATAAGTTATAAATCTACTCGTGATTCGGTCCTGGATAGAATTGGAAGCGTTATATGTGTAGCATTCACCCAAGGTCCTAGGCTTCCACCAGCTAAACCGGGTGAGGTTGGTGCTCTGTAAAGCGCATGCGCGAATCTGGCTGTTTGGAAGCTGACAATACAGCGCTTCCACTCCGCCACTAATACAGTATTCGAATATACAATAGCAATCTTGTCTTTTTTTTTCACGTGTAGTATAGAAGTTTGTAATAAGATACATAATGCGATTATAATAAAATATTGTGCAATTATTNAGGGTATCGTTGAAGTCGTCTCGGTCTCCTCAGTTCAGATAGATACTCAAAGTCCCGAAATTCCATAGGTGGTTATCTATATAATAATTTCCCTAATTGTATTAATATTTTAATTCGTTTGATTTTTTGTATGTTTTTTAATTGGTTGATGATTGATTCTATCAACTAATTTGTCGATTGTTTGATTGTATTAACTTGATTCTTTAGATATCGAAAATTAAATAAAGAACATTATGTTAATTTAAGCGTACAGAAACGTTGCTGTTGTTTCAGCAAAGATCTTTTCACTTTACCATCTTTTCGATTTTCACTTTACCGAGTGCCTAGTAGGTAATTTGCAGATTACCTAGATAATCTGAACTTTACCTAGGTAATTTGAGAAATAGAACAATTTTAGCAACTTTAACGGATCACGCTAGTTAATCTGCAGATTAACGAGTTTCCGAGCTTTAGCGGTAACATATACATATCAGAGGCCAATTTGATTCTTACACCTAACAAATATTTTATATAATCAATTTTGTATCATCGAAATAATTAAAACACTGAAAATTTTTAAACTAAATTAGATAAGTAAACATTAGTTATTGTCATTTTTATTTGATACCTTACATTTTATTGAGTTTTCGCTTATATATAGGCTACTCTTTCGGGTTTAATTTTATTAGAAAAGAATTTTAACAAATAAATCTTCATTATTCTATTGCATTTTCAATAGTATTTTATCTTTGTCTCTTTCAAAAGAATTATCTATACAGCATTGCATCATACAAGTTTTATAAATCAATTTATGCAAAAACGGTCAGAAAAAAGGCGATTTTCTATTAACTTTCACCGAGATATAGATATTTAGATTATATTTAAGCCTTTCCTAAGTTAGATTTAAAATTATTTGTAGATTTTATTATGTTGTTTTTCACTTTTGTTTTTTTAAATGTAGAAAACACTAACTCTGTTGATCAAATTCACAATGCTTGAATTTCTGACAGATAATTTATCGATAATTTATCAAATGCTATTAAAATATGCTTTTAGTAGTGTGTGCAAAAATAAATATTGTTATTGGATAGGTCACGTAAAAAATATTTTGATAAATAGAACAATTTTGTAAAATAGCATAAAATATTCCAGTCACGCAATTATCACCAATAAAATGTTATAATCGATGAAATAGTCTACTGTAAGTTTTCGTAATTTGATTTGTCAAAAATTCAATGAATTCAATGATTGTTATTTTTATAATAAACAGCTTGATTTATATCCTAGCTTGATTTAGATAAATTGAACACCTAATACTTAGTCTGTTAAATTGTACGCTTTTTACATATAATTAGTGCTTTAAATTAATATAATTATGATTATTTTAGAAAATGTAATAAATATTAAATAGCTGCATTCGTTTAAATACATTAAATTATAGAACAACACAGTAAAATATTTATTAAAAACATTGCACATACAATAGCTTAATGCGAAAACTGTATAGAATATATCTTGGAAAATACAACTTACACTGGCTTCTGCAATACTTCTAACAAATATTGCACATATATTTAGTCTCTTAATCTAATAAATATTTCAATCTCATAACATTTACAATAAATTTAATTTTTCATAAAATATTTAAATTCAAACTTCAATAAATTCATGATTTTTTATCCATAAATATTTGAGTTCATTTTCATTCTAACAATTAAAAATATTTTTTAACTATTCAAATATAAGATTATTATATAAATTACTGTATATATCGAAAATTTTATAATTTTATTAATTCGATTTTTTCGCATGAAAATTAGTATTTCTGCGCATTGAAAATAAATTTTTTTTAGTTATAAATGATGGTTGCTTGTTAAACGTTTCATATTATCGTTTGCTACCAAATTTTAAAGGTGATCTTAAAGTAATGGACGGATACATCATTATAAAAAGCAAGGTTGTTTATTTGAATAGGATAAGGAAATAAACTACGAATACGAGATGCAATCATTTAGTTGAAGCATATTTTAAATGAAAGCATTACAACTTTAAGTGTATTTAAATTTAAAATGCTTAATTAATTTTGGATTTAACTATGAAAAAATGTTTTTCCCAAGTCGGGCATTTGATAAATTATTAGCGCGCAGTTTATTATCGGCATATTCCTCGATTTCATTCTCACATGAATGCAAAAAGTTAATAAAATATCTTTACGTATTAAAAAATATATTTTGCAATTAATTTATCACTTGTTTTAATTAACACTCTTTGAAGTATTTAAATTCCATCTTCTAACGTCTCAATTTAATACTTTGATTTCAACTATACCATAACCAATCCCAAAATATTTGATACCAAGGCAAATCACACAGTTTATCCTTTTCTTCAAACCTATTTGAAACTTTGTTATTCTTAGCAGTAATACCGATCCATTCAGGCAGATAAGTTTTATTATAAGGCAAGTGATCCGTTAAGAACGTTGAATTTGGCATTAAATATTCTGCGAAATAAACAGTATCGCCACCCGCCAAATAAGCTCCCCAAAAGCCAAATGTGCCATAAGTTATAATTGTATGATTGCACTGAGATAGAAGAGCCAAATCATAAGCTGCTTCGGGAGGAGTTGGTGCGACCACTACATCAGACCACTTAGTTAGATATTTACGACACCATCTTCGATCATCGCTAACTACTATAAAGATCACATTACTATATTTATTACGAAAATACTTGAAAGCTTCGTTAAAATAGAGTAAATTTACTTTTCGTCCGCTGTATTTTTTTAACCACTTGCAATAATCCGTCCTCCTCACATGAACACCAACAAATAATGCTTTCGGTTTCTGCTCTCTCAAAGTTAAAAGAAATGTTTGAACATAAGACACTAAAAATTCCTTAAATTGAAATTCTCTGCGAATTATATTTCTTATATGATCAAAAAACGTATATGAATTGGGAAATCCATATCCACTGAGTACACTTTTATCCGTTGGGATGTGACTATCTTCAGGACGAAAATACGGAGCTAGTGGATAATCTCGCCTCTTATTTTTTGGAATTTCTTGAATTTCTGCAGCACTTACATAAAAATAAGGTCGGAGGTGAATCATGTTACAATGTTGCGCATATGGTGTACGATTATTTAGTTTAGATAATCCCAGTAAAGCTGCGTACGTTGACATTTGATTACCTAATCTGCCAGGATTACAGTATATGGTCAAGAAGGAAGGATCTTGAAAGGCATCTACAAAAGATATTCAAATTATTACTATATGATTTAAAACATTCTTATATTAAAATTTATACAAAAGTTATAAATTTTAGTTTAAATTTTTACCTATTACTCAATGGATATTAAGTTATATATGTCTCGTTTAATGAAAATGTTGAAGCAGAAAGAAATCCAAGAAGAAAAAAAAAAGATCGTTGCAAGAGAAAGCCACATATCTGTCAACCAAACTTAATAGTGAGGGATAAGGACGCTTGAAATGAAGGACAAACTATTTCGAGAAGGGAACAAACAATTTTAAATATTTAAAATCAATAATATATATATATATATTATACTGTAACTGATAATAAACATGTTATAATATTTACTGTGCACTATAATATATTCTGTAACGATCATAAAACATTTTAATTTAGACTCCTTTCATAATCACAGCACATAATGAAGTGTAAAAAGATATTGCCGACAAGGAATAGTATGGTTTGTAAAGAGTGGTCAATTGCCAAGCAGAACTCTACACCAGAGGAAATGTTTCTTCTCCAAAGCAGAGGAAAAATAAATCTAAAAATAAATCAATGTGACATCGTGACATTGCCAAGCTAATTTAATCATATTTTTAATTAATTAAATTCAATATATATGCTCTCCACCTAAAATTAGTAGCGTCTTGCCCCTGTACATCATACTTTTCCTTTAGCAATCGAGTAGTGCCGGTCATCTAGCTAACTCCTTTCAGGGGAAGTTTTGAATTAAAATAATTGACTTTCGGTTTGCATCGGAAGTTCTTATATAGTTAATCTGGACTTTGTTCTTAATTTTTCCGTATCTGGCTTCTACGTTCATCTATCCAACTCCGTTCTCGAAATTAAGGAAAGAGTCCGACGGAGGACAGCTGATATTTATAGGTCTACAATTTTTTCAAATTTCAGCCCAAAACCTGGTGGCCGCAGAGGATTGTTCTCTTGCCTATGCGGCCATTAGTATACATCGCAACTTAGTAGAAAAAATGTTAATCTATTAGACGTTGAGCAGATTAACTAGATGACAAAATATCCTACAAACAAAATATTCACACTACAAGAAGACAAAGTGGTCCTAAGCGTGGTGTCAGTTCCAATGGTTTAGACTTTAGAGGGAAGTATCCTGAAGATTAACACCAATTATGTAGAAGGTAGTGTCCTCTAATGAATGAAGTTTGGTAATTCAACGCATAGAGTAGAAGTCCAAATATCCAGCTAACTTAATCGAAAAAGTCTGCAAGAAGTGTTCTCTGGCCACAAGGCTTTATTGGCACCAGGAAGCCTAATATACTGGGGAATTGGAAGGGGCAGGATAAAATCCAGCCATCAAAACCCAAAAGTATACGAGGGCGCAGACACAATACAGATAGTAGACATCCCAGATGAAAGCTACCGACAGGACTATAAACACTTAGTTCATGCAACACTACATGAAGAGGACAAGACAATAGCTGCTATGGAAGATACACACGTCAGTATCCAAGTTTTATGTATCAGCTAAACTAGGTCGCTAAACTAGGCTGCTATACTAGGTCGAGAGAAAGACCAAGACGATGGCTAATAACTAGCCACCTAGAAAATAAAATAAGCTAAGCCTAGAAAGGAGGAACTTTTTCCATTTACATGTCTAATTTGTTAGACAACGTCCCAAAACTTATCTCTAGGCCTAGTTTTAAGAGCTTGCTAAGTCTAGCCGAGGAGGAAAGAAAGGAATAGGTCACCTAAAACAAGGATAAAAACTCTGAACGCACTAGTATAAGTCTTTTCAGAAATTCGAACTGAACTGCAATACATATATACACACACAGAAAGAAACAAAAATCTTATTTTGCGGGACTATCAACGTGATTAAAATGACGATGGAACAACAAAGTAAAATGCGTTAAAATACCGCAAATCACGGAACAGTTGAAAGGTCTGACAAAGCATGTTACCATAAAATTCTAAATCTTAAGAGAATAAAATAGTTTACGATGCACAGTACGACACAAAGTTTAATTGTAGAATACGTTATATCAGAAAATTACATCTTAAGCACTAAAAAAAATCTTCGAAAATGAGTAATTAAAATATTAATGCGTAAATTAAGAAATAATAAAAATAATTTATATATTAAGTTAAAAGTTAACACTACTTACGAAAATTTATTTTAAATTATACAAAATGCAAAGTGTGTCACAAAGCAACAATGAAATAAATTTTAAAATTCATTCTGAACATGCTCAATTCGTACATGAGTTGTTTTTACATTATGGCGTATATCAACCACGTATTGATAAAATATTCCATTTCCTCAAATTTTTTATTCTCGTAATATATTTTCAGAATTTGTGTGTTGTGAAATCAATGTTTCTGGTCTAAAGGACTAGGCAAAATGAATTCTTCGCACAAAACAGCGACAATTTTCATTATTTTTTTTTAAATTCATAATCAGACAATATAAATCAATACAGTAGATGTATTTTATTATTGCTAACTGATTTATTGATAAATTTACTTTTCGGAAATTAAAAAGGACAAGGATTTGACAACAGAGTTGACACCTATCATACACCTATAGATTTATAATTAAAATCATTACAATTCTCTTAAACCGTAATAATAATTGTTAGCTTAAAAATTAATATCTGCTATAATAATTTTCTTTCGGCGACCACCTTCGAGATGCTGGAGTGGTTAAAAACAAGTTTTGCTAGTGCTCTATCACGTGCCCGAAACGATGGGATCACGATCTATCTAGTCTGAAAGTAAAAGCAGCGTAGATAGATTCGCTCAGGATACAACACATCGACTTAGTGGCGTCTCCTGGATAATTTGTCGTCGTCTTGTCGGACGTGTTGTAAGCCGACGTCATAAAATTTTTCATCGATTATATCTGGAGCGTTTTGTTAAATATTTTATAAATTTTGTACGTATTTATTTAAACATCATGCATATTCAGCGCGATATGAAATATTTAATCTAGACATGCACAATTCATAAATAATGCTGATGAACTTTATAACGTAGATAATGACGTATGAAGAATCACAATAAACACAACTGTATTTGCTAAAAATTCAACGCGAGAAAACAAACGTTGATGAAAAAGTAGCATGCTACGTGATACATTATCAAAGGTTAAATTTAAATACAGAATTTCTCTTTTCGTGCCTTATGGTAATTTATACATTACAAGTTAATAACTAATAGTAAATTTTTAATGGCATCGCTGTTTAGGCTACATATTCGATCGTGTTAAACTCGTCGTTATTTTTAATTTCCAAGGGCGTAGTGTGAAAAATATTAGCCAAAGTCAACCATTTTAATATTGGTGAAATACGATAGAGGTTTCATTCGAACAGACCTTTCCCAGAAATACGAATCGTAAAAATATATTAAATTTCTTGTTTTTTTTATGTCAAAAACGAAAACGCTGTTAGTATTGGAAAAGTTTTATTGATCGATGTAAACTATCATTCTATTTGATGATTTTATTAAGTTTTATAACTGTTTTTGTAATCACCAAGTATCGTATGAAATTTAAAGATGAGTTCATTAAAAAATATTAAAAGATGAATTTTTTAAAATCATTTCGTGCAATTTGTTCGATGAATCGATTTATTTTATCGATGCATTATTAAATACAGTAATTTTTTTCGAATATAGGGAAAAGACCGAAATATGGCTAAAAATTCAGATTATGAAACGAAAACTAATCATTCTGATGACATAATGAGTTTCAAATGCCAAACTTCAATTGAAATCTATCTAGTAATTAAATCGGAACTAATTGTTTTTGTTTTATTTAAAAAAATATATTCGAAATAAGTATTAAATGTTCAATTGTTGGAGTAGAATGTCGAAAAATTTTAAGTTTTATTTAAAGTTGCTAAGTTTATATATATTGTATATAAATTACAAAATAATTTATCTGAATACTATTTAATAGAATACACAAACTGATCTCTCAATCGTGGAAAACCAGTATTAACACTTAAGATGCACCCCTTTTAGATGCCCGTTGTGTATAGAGATTTGATTAATATGAGCTCTTATTGTAAGTTAAATTTAATATTTTATAGTTATTTAAAATTTATTATTAAATTTAATATTTTATATAACTCCTTTATAAAGAATTAAATGGTTTTCTTTGATAAGAGAATTAATTCTCTTCTTTTTTTTCGTCCTCTGATAGCAAAATATGCTTAATCACTATATAGACTATGACTTCATTCGCTAATGAAGTCATTCTCTATAAGGATCTATGTGCAAATAAATTTTCTAAAAAATATTTTGTTACATTTGATAATTTAATAATACATAATGCACGATTTAAAAAACAAAAATCACGCACTTCCTATATTTAAAAATACGGATGATCCGAAATGTAATAAAGAATTTGTTTCCCGAGATCATTTCCCTTCTAATAAGTCATTTAGATTTTTCTTATCCATTCAAAAACAAGTTAAAATCATAACAGTACGAAACTCTTCACTAATTTCTCTCTGCTATCGAACCTATAAAAACGCTCCTGTAACAGATTCATGTCCCAGATATTCATTTGGCACAATTAGTCCAACAGTTAACAAACTTAGATTAATGTGAAATAAACAACAAAGTTAAATAAAAATATTTAAACTGATTTCTTTTTAATCAAGCATGAGGATTCCGCAAGGTTAAAAGTGAAGACACTGATCTACGTGAAATGCAGTAGGCCTACTTTATACACTTATATTTCATACATACACGAAATTAAAGCACTGATATATATATATATAGCCTATATAATTATATTGTGTGCGCGCGCGTGTGTGTGTGTGTGTGTGTGTGTGTGTGTAGTGAGTATATTATAACAATTAATAAAATTAATTTTAAAAATGCTTATTCTTCGATACAAGTGAGAAAAACTCATTTGTTTACACTTATTAATTCATAGTTTTCACTTAAAATCTTAAGCAACAGATGATTTCCTTCTATTACAGCATACTCCTTAGAAACTTTCTAAAATGCTAAGGATTTAATTAGTGATTCTTATGATTTACTGATTGCAGAGTTACATTCCAAAAGTGTTTTCATAGCCTCTCTTCATTTCATATTTTGACAATTTTATACTTCAGATATTTTAATGAATTTATTTATATTAATTACATGTTTTGCTTTTCTGGAAGTGTTAGATTAATATAGTTGATGCAGTTTATACAGCTACATTCTGATACAGAAAGCATTCTTTCCATCAACGTCACATGCCTGTTAACAGTGTTTTAGAACCCTTGCCACATTTTTCCTTCCCTTTCAGATTTTAAAAACATTTATTGTATTTCCTGTAAGATACATTTTAAAATAATCTGTATATTTTTATTGCTTTGATTATATTTTTCGTTTTAAGTAATATAGTTGTTTTAATTTAAAAAAAAAACATTTTATAGAAGGTGATTTTTGTTGCCTTTGCCTTTATATTTTTCTGTTGTGTAAATGAACTTTCTATTTTTATTTCTTAATTCGCTATTTATCCATCCATTATTACAAATCATATCTAAGGAAGATATTTTATATAAATAGAATGAAATACAGGCTATGACTAAATTGGTTACAAAGGTTAATTATTATGCATCAATTATTTAATTCGAAAATAAACTTTATTTACTAATAAACATAGTATAATTTCTTTTAACAAACGAAAAAAAGGAGCAAGTGAGGAATACATATAGTTATTAAAACTTAAATTCTTATTAATTCTGCAAGCACAGTAAAGAGAAACGTTTAATAATATAAATAATTATACTTAATTTTCTCTCTCGAAAATTGAATAAGCTAATAAAATCTAAACAAAGCTTGATTACATTTTATCTAAATTACATTTAAGTCATTCTGTTCTATTTAAATCAAAAACGTTAAACTTTAAAATGCTTAACTGTGTGCCATTCAAATAATATGAATTCCACGATAAATCAAATATTTGCCCTGAAATGACTAAGTATTTAAGATAACAATATTCAGAATATGAAAAGTCATGCTATGAGATGCCAAAGATATCTAACAGTATACTAAAAACAACTTCGATAAATTTCAACTTTTCACTTTTGATTTATCATAGTTCTATACGAAATTACCACCAAAGTTAATTATGATAATTTGTAAAATCCTGTCAAATTTTAAAATCATGTAATCACGTTCCCAATCAATCCCAAACAATGGAAAAACTGATTTACTAATGTTTATAATAACTCACTCAATCTCTGAAATCGAATTTTCCTTTATGATAGATAGTTCTTAGAAGTAGACTTATAGAATATGCACGTATACATTTTTAATACGTTAGTCGGAAGTCAATAGTCTTAGCTACATAATTTTCTACGCTAATTATTGCTGTATATATAATCAGCATTAAGTTAGATTAATATTTATCGTAATAAAGTTTGACCGATTAGTAATGTCCGAACAGAAAGATTGAAAGCCTGACGTACAAGCAAGTGAAACTATTTCAATCACAAATACATACAAAATTGTCGATATCTTTTTTCATACAACAGCAAGGCTACAATTACGTATTACGTTTTCTTGAATATTAATTTGGAAGTTCTTATTAGATTAAATGACTTATTTAATAAGTCTCCGAAGAAATCCTCTGACTCACTCTTGCTGAAACTAGTTGATACTAGGAAAATTCCTTGTAGATACGGATTGTGAATGAAGTTCGATGATGATAAGTGATCACTATACTAAATAGATTTTCTTGTCTAATTTTTGGCGAATCAGATGATTAATCTACTAATTAAATCACTAAGTTAAAGTCTAATCTTATATTGTAATTTTGGAAAGAATGCTTATGCATTTTCGTTTTTCTATTGTTTTCAAAATTTATAAAGTTAATACGATAACATTAAGCATCTGAAACATTGTATCGGTTTTCTTTAATATGTTTATGTATATTTTGATATATTTATTGATACATTAGTTTAATGGCTGGAGACTAATAGCCTACAATTATGCACACAAAAATGTACAGTATGCGTGTTAAACGTAAATGTATTTATTAGTTTCTCAATTATCGATATTAATTATGTTCGATTTTATCATTAATAAAAATATTTACTATTATTGAAATTTTCCATACTCTTCATTTTTAATGTTTGTTTTAAATAAACTGTACACGCAGCAGAAATAAAGTCTAAAAATTAAACTGAAAAGCCCTGAAGTCATACTTAGCGCTCTTTTGGATACAGAATGCGCATATATATGCGTGTTCTGTACAGAACGAACACTTTAAATAAATTGTTCAGGATATTATCTTAACGTAGCATCTACGTTATCTAGACTAAATCAAGATTATCTCAATTTTCTTTCTTTTTCCCAACTTAAAAGCAATTCATAAACATTATCCAAACATTAATCATTTTAAAATGATTTTTATATTTCAGAAGTTTTATAAATCACTAAATAATTTAATTACTACTTCGATTAATATAATTTAACATTTAGCTTTAATTTATTTTTAGAATATAAATATAGTATACAACTTTTATTATAATAAATCAAAGACAGATTTCAGCATAAAATAGTTATGAGTAATAAATTATCATCTCAAATGACTCAGTCTGTTATTTTTTTAAGATCTATGTAAATTAAAATTTTAATTTCAGTAAATAAATTCATTTAAATTAAAAGCATATTCTACATTAGATAAACATGTTAAATTGAAAAAGCAAATATGAAACTTGAATAGATTAGTTTATTGTAAATATATCAGATCGACTTTATTCTGTTGAAGAAATGATTCACGTACCATTGTTCCAACTTATACAGCCAATTCTTTTATCTAAATATGATATTTTTGTCAAGGAAGAATTTGTTTCATGAAGCATTAAGTATACGAATATTATAAGTTCTATTACTGACTAAAATTTGTCCATTAAAGTTCAATAAGACCTACTGTATAGTGGCAAAAATGAGTAATGTAATTAGAATTTTTTTACCAGTCATTGCATGAACTACAAAAAAGCTAAAAATATAAGAAGGATTTAGCTTTTATTTATAAATCAATGTATTACAAGCCAACTTAATCATATTCATTTAAAATTAAATTTTAATAACTTTTTTCCAACAATTCCTTCAAAATTCACATTTTCTGCTTCTCTGTATTTAAGTTTTGACGTAATTATAATATATACTGAGCTGTAAAAATGAATTATGTCTGTGAAAATAAGAAAAATATAATCCGCAATAATCAAATCAAGTCATCAAATGTGATCGAACAACAAGACATCTCTGAACAATTTTGAATTAAATAAGCATCGATTGATGATGATATAATAATAATAATAATAAATTTTAAAAGTATATGTTCTATGAAATTTTAAATGCGATTAATTTAATTTTAGTTAAGTACATAAATTTGGAACAAAGTTGCAAATCACACGGTTTTGACACAAAAAGATGATTTATAAATTGTAATAATTAATTAATATGTAACAAATCCAAATTTAAAAAGAGTGTTCATGATAAAACTAAGTTTATTTTAAAAAGTGCTAAAATATATTTTAAAACTTACAGTATATAATAAAGTTATAATCAATATATCAAAGCAATATTTTGTTATTAATCCTTCTCGTGATAAAATCACAAAACTTTTACCAAAGGCTTCATCAATTTATACCGGATTTCAATATATTATTTTAAAACTATCAACTTTACTATCTCGAAAAAGATTCATATCTAAAACAGAACTCTTACTGTGAAAATTTCGAACGGTTTTTTTCATATTTAATTGAACAACAATTAAAAACGGTAGAGCATATTACTTAAAAAAATTCTAAATTAATTTTAGTAATTATGCATATTTAGTTCAAACTGTAAAAAAAGTACTTGATTAAATTACATGTTTATAAGAAAATGATTAAGATATGTTTCACTTAGTTTTATTAAAATTAAATTGATTTCAGGATTCAAAGTTTAAAATATTAATATGAAAATCATTCATATTTTAAAATTTACATTTAGAATAATTTAATAAACGGAAGGAAAGGAAATTCACTAAAAGTAATAAAAATGTTTATTTCTAGTCTGGTTATTTTTAGTAGACAAAAATTATATTTTTAATGAAGTCACGTGCAAATACGTAACAAGCTGTGCTACTTGCGAAAACTTTCACACGTGATATACAATATTAAGTAACTGAAAGTCATGCCTACAATTATCTTATACTGTTTATTATCAGAATAAATTTCCAAGAAAGATGAAATGAGTAAAACTTGTTTTCAGATACAATACAAATCAAGTGTAAGTAGCGAAAGATTACGCACGAGAACAAACCATTGAAATATTCAGTTTTAATCGAGTAATGTTTAAACAAGCGTGAGACCTATTTTGCAACTTGAAATAAGACTGTATTTTAAATACGTAATAAAGGAACTTCCTCAAGAAAAAACCAAAGTTAAACCCTTACAAAACATCGACCTTGCAGTTATTATTTTTTTTAAAATAAAAGTATTCTTACCTTGTTTAATATGATACCATTGATACCAGTTGTTAGTCGAATGTACAAATAACCATCCTAGAAACAACAAACCCGTAATAAACGCAGCAGTTAACAAACGTGAACGACGGAAAAAAAACTTCTCTGTCGTTTTAAAAATTCTTGCGAGTAGTGATAGATAGGAACCGTGCATCGTAGTCAAAACACGCTTTAAAACATTTGATAAAATTTACTAGAACTTGGAAATAACGCAAGAAAATGAACAAATTTGCGAAGAAGAAACATAACATTCTACTAGACGAGATAAATTTCTAAACTACACTCACTACGACCAATGTCAAAGGATGGATGAAACATCCACTAGAGACATCTAGCGGTTGTTTTCTAACTATTGTTGTGTTGTAAATGTTTTCTTGGTATATTGCCAACTCGTAATTTATTTAATATTTTATTCGATTGTATGCACTTGTATTCTAGTTTCATACACAGTAAGCGTAGTATAGGATCTACGGTCGAATAATAACACAAAAATATTATCCAATGACAGGCCATTGACCTAACCAGCTCATCATTTCTCTTCACAAGTAATAAATGCTAATAATAGTGCAGATTCATAACTTTAAAACAAATATACTTTAAGTAATTTTAATATTCTTCTTTTAATTCACAGAAAGAATTGTTTAATATTAAACAAATTTTAAAAATTAAAAAGATTTAATTATTGTAAATTTATAAATTATTGTTAATGCTGCCTGCTGTTTTAATAATAACTATCAATAACAATGAGCTGTAATGCTTGATTAAATTTCTGATTAATATTGTTAAACACAAAACAATTGACTTAAAAACTTTTTAAATGTGAACTATTTTCTTAATTTGCTATGGTTTATTTTTAAATACATAAAATTTTTAAAATTGGAATCGATTACTCAATTAGGCTATAAAAATATTTGAACAAATGAAAAATTTATAAATAATTTTACTCATTATATAAAATTAAAAGTTAAAATTAGTTAAATTATCAAACTCAATTTAAAAGCTTGTTTGTATAGAGTTACCATTTAAACATTGAAATAAAGCAAAAAGTTATTATTAATTCGTTTAGTAAATCTTTTTATAGTTTATAAGAGTTATGAACTTATAAGAAAAGTTATAAACTTATATCCAGAGTTCGGCAAAGCTCAGTTCGATACATCTTTATATGTTAAAGAGGTGAGAGAGAGTAATATTTTTACATTAGTTAAATGACTTCCATTTTACGAGTAATCATTTGTATTAGTAATTTTATGCCAATCTGAAAACTTAAAGGTAATATTAGCAACTATTAGAGATGAAAGCAAATAAAGAATGCTGGAAAAACCTAGCAACAACGTTGTTAGCTTTTTTAGAAGAGAATTACTAAAAGTAATAGAAAGTATTATTTTAAAATGTATAGTGTACAGTGCAATAGAGTCCCGATGATTCGAAGTGGACTGGACGGAAAAGGCTCTTTCGATTTTTCCTATTATTCTGTATATTCCGAGATTTTTGAAATTCGAGGTAGTCTATGTTATCTGATTGGGCTAAGGTTGAAGCACGTTTATATATAACCTATATATTATATTATATTTTTATATACGTAGTGTACCGGTACACATTTATTATGACACGGAACGGTTCGGAAAAGTTATATTGCTGTGATTATCGCATTAAGCTGCGTAGTAGCAGAAGCAAAAGGTGCAATTGAAATAAAAGATCCGATCTACGATTCTGGATTCCAGCTGAGAGCTGGGATGGCCGTCAAAATTCTGAGTTTTAGATCAGCTCAGTTTATTTATCCACAGCGGTAGTGGCTATATCCAAAATAGTCATGGGAAGATCTAGGTTTTTCGGGGCTTAGGGCTTATTGAAGTCCAATGTGGAACCCATTTTTTGTTAAATTAATACAAATAATACTATAAATTATCATTATTATTATATTATTAATATTAACTATTTTTTACTATACGATAAGTGAAAAAGTATTAAAAATTTATGATAATAATTCAATTTTTGTGATCCCTTGATACTTGGGGGCCCAGAGTTTAAGCTGTATTAGTCCCTATGTAGATCCGACCATGACAATAGTGGAGGAATTGATGTAGGTTTGAATTTTCTAATTCGGATATAGGTTCTAATTACCTATTACTTTCTTCGTTCCCATATCTATTCAACGTAAACACGCTACCTGTATATGTTTAATGCATAAATATTATACACAAAATATTTGAGCAAAAAACTATGAGGGTATCACATCTAATATCAATAAAAATAATTTAAGATATTTCAAAGATATAAAGAAAAAACTATAAATCGATTTATAGTTTATATATTTGTTTTATTTTTGCAGTAAGTTTTCTTTATTCTATCTTTTTCACTAATATCGTATAATAATATAATATAATAACAATAATTATCAAATTTTTAAATCGTTTGTTTGTCGTAGCTCGTTTCATAGAATGCCATTTTGTTTTTAATTGCGAATATATTAGATGGAATATTATGATGTCATTGATCTCCGTTCGTTAATCCCTTCTATACTCACTTGTCAAAATGTTGATGGAGGTCAAGAAAAAAGGGCGTGGTTCATTTCAAACAAGCATCGAATCCAAATTTTCCTAAGGGAAATCATAGATATGTGTGTGACGAGGTCTATAAATTGTTTATCATAAATATAATATCTAGTCTATAATACGTTTAAATAATAACGATATATTAAAATTATTATTTCAGAATTATCTTTATTAATAATGCTAAAAAAATACTGTTATTCTGTTTAGAACCGACAATAGAAGAAAATAACAATGTTAAGTATTCTATTTCGGAAATTTTAAGAAAAGTTTATATATTAGATTCTCGTTTTAACGAACGAATTTTGGAGTCATCCGCTTAGTTAATAAAGGTCATTAAATCGAATGTATTTTAAAAACGTGCTGTATGTTAATAACGAACTTTCAATATAGGCCCACACGATTTATTAAAATATTATTATAATGTATTGATACATATAACAAGTGGAGTTTTTCCATCATTAATATTCATTGATCCAACCTTTTATTGCACCATATTCGCGAATAAAAAATAAGATTTTACATTTTTTCTTTAGGACAGAAATTTTGTTTGCTCCTTAAATCTAGAGGCTACAGCATTAATTAAATTACGAAATTTTAATTATTTTAATAATTGATAATTTTTTACAATTGCTTTTATTGTTATTAAAGTTATACAATGTTCAATTTTTAGAAATTTTAATCGATTGTCTGTGATTTTCTTATTTACTTCATTTTAAAAAACACATTTTTACAAATTCTAGCAGATCAGATATGGAAATATTTAAGTATTTCGCACAATTTTCAATATTTTTGACTTCTTGCCTTCCTTAGAGAAATTGAAACATTTTCTTTCGCCCCTTTCTCTCAAACTATGTCCACATCTATGTAAAACGGTGGTCTCAAACTCAAACGCAGCAAAGGGCCAGTCAAATACATGTTTATCAGACGCGGGCCGTGTTCAATATTATTCAGTAAACCAAAACATACCGTAATTTAAAATTTAAAAAAACCCCTCTAACAAAGGCCCTTTCGTTGCTAGGCCTTTATAACTTAATGTAAACAATTAGACGTTTGAATTTTTTCTGTTTTAATACCCGCGAGATGCTAGAAACATATATTTTTAGAAAAGAAATCATTAAGGCTGCGGGCCGGATATGAAACCTTAACGGGCGCCCATATCCGGTCCGCGGGCCATCAGTTTGTGACTTTTGATGTAAAACGTCGTGTAGTTACCACTAGATAAACCAGTTTGGACGGGGTAAAAGACCCTTCATCGTGACATCTGACATCACGTGAATGTACCCAAAACGGTTCCCTACTTGTCGCTTTTTCGACGAATTATCAAAGAATGACACAATATGAAACACGCTGCGGGTAACACAGGTGTAAACACACTTTTAACAGCTGCAGCCGACTCTATGTTCAAGAGATAAAATGGTTCATTTAAATGTTATGCGAAATAATATGTCGTGGGGAAAAAATCGGGCCATGTCCGTCAAAGTGATCGTGTCTCTGTTTGCAAAATTATGGGGCTGTGGTTCATAATGAAGTAAGAAAACGTCATTATTATCTCGATGTGGACATAGATGTAAGGAGAGCTAAAGAATTTTTTGCGCAAAATACGAGGTATCTCATCGACAGATTAAAAGTTATACTTCCCCCCCAGACAAGAAATTCAACGAAGAACTTTAGTAACGTCTAAAGCGAGTGTGAGATTTCTAAAAATCATTTTTATTTTCTATATTTCTTTATCATTCTAATACATGTAGTATCAGTGGCGCACTCGAGATTTAATGTTAGGGGGAGCCGAGTTGAACAGATAAAAAAATTTTAATGCAAATTCAATAAAATTTTAAAATATGAGTAGTAGTTAATTCGTAAGCAGTATAGAAATTGAAGACATCACAATATGAATAAAAGAATGAATTTTAATTAGGAAAAGATTTTTGGAAAAATCTTCTTGAGTTTCTTCCTTTTTCTTTGGGTTGCCAGCAGGGGCAGACTGGCCATGTGGAAAATGTGGAAAATTCCACATGGGCCGTATACAATTTGGGCTGTTTTATCTAAATATGTACATAGTGTACCGTTTGGTTAAGTTTAATTTAAAAAAATTCATATATATATTTTTTTAAATTAAGGTGTATAATACGTGTAGGCCTATATCATTTTACCCGGCCCTACCCGTATCCGAAGTTAAATTAGTTTGGCCGATCTGAGTCAAACACTACATTAGCACAAACAGAAATCATCCTAGGAGAAAAATAATCAAAACTACCTTCTTAACAGAGAAAATTGATCATTTATTTACATTGCTAGAAACTATTCACAACTCCTATGAATCTTAATGCTAAACGCAAGTTATTAGTTTTGTACCTAGCCACCAAAGCAATGATTGTAGTCATAACAAATTTAATGGCCACTTATATTATTTCCTTTATTTTAGATAAGTAAAAAATGTTATTCAATAATAATTTCTCTGTATTCCAAACGATTTAATTAAAAATAATCTATTTTGTAGTGTGAGGCCGGGACCTCACCCCCTCTCCAATAGGAAACTGGTTGTCGAGCTAAAGCTAATAAATCGGTGATTTATTTCGTAAACAAGAACGAGTGTAAGACGATTTAATTGTCGCATTCCCGGACCAAATTCACACGTCTTCAATCTAGATCAGGGAAAGTGGGAGAGAGAGCAACCGAGGAGAGTTCGACTGTCATCTTACTAGTTCAAAGCACATTAGACCAAAATTTACGGGACCGTCACTAAATATTCCTGAAAACGCATTTCAAAAATTAAGCAGTATTTTAATACA